AAGAAATGCTGGTGTCAGAAACCAGAAAATTGACAATATGCCTCAAACCTACCTGAGACTTGAGAGTATGCTGTTATTCTTCGACTACTTAGAATAGTTTTTGAAGATGAAATCAGAAACTACTGTACTGAATAACATAGAAGTGTGTTTTTGTCTTTAAATGCCTTGACGAATAAGCAGAAAACGCGGTCCAAAGCTGTCTAGAATTAAGTTTTAAGGAAATCATTTGTTTTTTAAGCAATTTCCTCTTACACTAAACCGGCCTACCGAGTTTTGCACTCTCTTATATTAGAATCATCCAATTTGACAAGAAGTTGCTACACTGGCCAAAAACAACTCAGATATTGCTAGTTGTTACAATGCAAAATCATCGTGAACTCACCTAAACTCCCGTTTCTTGTTAGTCACTATGACAGAAAGCAATCCAGACCTTCAATAGGAAAAAAAATGAAAAAAGAAAAAAAAAATTAGTAAACCAACCTACAAACACCAAATTTTGCCCGATCACAAATACAGTTTCTTCTTCTTGCTATAGAAGAGACAGTTCAAACTGAGAAATTCCATATAGAACCTTGTTTTTGAGAGAAAAAAGTACACAACTTTCAGCCACAGCAAGCAACATTTAAATAGAATTGAACATGCAATGTTCTTGGAAGAACCACGTCATTTCATTAAACGTACAATAGATACAGCTGTGAAGGCGCCATATCGATCAAAACTTAGGAAAAATGTATCAAACAAAACAAAAAGAAAAAGTTTTTTTTATTAAATAGAATATAATAGATGTGAGAAGCAGATACACGTTTTAATATTTTGTCATTGCACTAATTTTAAATTAGACTCCATGTGAGAAGCAGCTACACGTTTTAATATTTTGTCATTGCACTAATTTTAAATTAGACTCTAACTAAGAGCATCTTATACATCATAGAGAATATCATTAAGCCCATGTTTGAGCCCCATTTTTTGAAGGAAAAAAAAAACATTCTTAAACAATATTTTGACATCATTTCAATAACACATTCTTAATAAAAAAATATTACACGCAAATCTAAAAATTTTCCTTATATTTTAATCACACATTTCCCATCAATATACTATTCAGAAATTCATTCTTATGAAAAAAAATGGGGCTCAAACAAGGGCTAAATTTACAGAGCCAAAATTTTTATACCCTCTAACAATACCCTTTATTTTGGCTCTTTATTTTGCTTTTCTCAAAAAACATTTATTAAATTTCATATTTTATTTAACATAATTTTGTATATGTCAATAACCAATCTATTTAAATGTGGTTTGAATAGTTAAAAAGCAAAGTATTGAAATATGTGACTTATTAAATGCAATCATTATATATTAAGAATAGAGAGAGTTAGCTCTCTAAATTTGAAGAGTCAAATCCACTCTTTATTTTAAAAAAGTTAATACAGAGTTTAAGCATTAGCTCTTGAAAATAAAAATAAAAAAGTATTTTGTATTTAAAGAGTCTCTTGGATATACTTTAATAAGCAAAACGACAAGCACCAAGAAACAAGATTTCAGGCAATAAATTTTTTTTTAGAAGATGCATGTTTGGCTTGTTTAAAACCACCTTCTTAGGTTCTTTTTTAAGTAGTTTGAATGCACAATCCATATAACCAAACATCACTTGAGATTAAAAAGAACTCTAGCTTTTACAACACTGAATTTTAATGGTAACAACCCAATACAGAGTTTTTGCTTAAATTCTGAATTTCACTAAACATAACCGTAGAAGTAATAACTTAGGAAGCAAAAAGAAGTGTTGTTAAGCAAATTATGGATGAGTACTAAGAATCCACCAATGTCAAAGAATGGACAGATATCAAAGTTTTCCAAACAATTAGCCAAGAAAATGGATGAGTACTAAGAATCCACCAATGTCAAAGGATTAACCAATATAATATAACATGAGACAAAATTTGGTTCCCAGATATTTTTTCACCAAATATACAGATACATTTTATTTAAGAAAAAATCAATAAACAAAATGAAGAATCAATCATTCATGTGCCAAACCAAACTGAAATCTATAGGTACAATCAATAAAAAATCCTAGCGAGAGGGAATTCAAATTAAAAATTACCTCCAAAAAAATTAGAAGCCACAAACTGGAAAGCATCAAGGAATCTTCCCACCGTTGATCGAGACCCGTTTGAATATTACTATAATATCCGCATCAACAAACGCATAGTAAGTCAGATGCGTACTGCCGTACTCACACAAAGTCACATTAGACATGTTTATATGGAGAGAGAGAGGGAGTCCCCACTGAGTGAAATTTGTAAAGTGTGACAATTTTTTTTCGGTTTTTGGAGATGAAAATGCAAATCTTGGGGCTCCATAGATGAGCACACCATTGATTTTCTTTTTCAAAGATAAGCCGTAGTTTCGTACGTTATTTTTTCAAAAAAAATTTCCCCCCTTTTGGAATTAAACGCAAATTGGGTCAATATATTTGAATCGGGGTCTCATTCGGATCCCTCATTTTCAATTTGGTATGATGAGATTACTCAACTTTAAAAATAATCATTTTGTCCACTATAGTTGTTAGCTAACATAAAGTGCTTACTTAAAACTAATATATGGTTGACGTAAAAATATTTGCTTTTAGTTCAAACATTTCGTAAAGCATTATGTGTGTGTGTGTATATATACGGATTTGACACCTAAGCACCGGTACTAAGTATATAAACTAAGCACCATGCTCAAGTGGCACAACACAATATGTGGTGCAATTAATTTTAAAACTATTCATTATCTTTCACTGCGTATTGTAATATGTCACTTCACTCGGTACTTAACATATGGAGATCATGACTATATATATATGGGTGTTTTGCACTAGTGTGCGACGTGAATATATGTGCTAGCAATCCATTAGTTTTAATATGCAATTTAGCATATTTCTTTAGTTAAACTGACACGATAATTGACAGAATGATCAAATTTGCAAATAAATCAAAGTTGTATATCGTATTAAGTTGAGTGCGAAAATTAGTTGGAGTGGAATCAATGGCCCTCGAGTGATTAAAGGCCTAATACCTAATAAAAACAAATTGCAGTGTACTTGCACATGCCTTGTAGAATTTGGACATCAAGAGAGGCATTGAAAAGATAGAATTAAGAGCAAACATATGAGCACTAAATTTTGTTATCTACTTTCATTTTTAGATATTGGATACGAAATGAGGCAATCAAAGAGGTTTAAAACGAGTCAGGTGTCCAGGTCGAGATTTGCAGCCTATTTGCTACTTCAAATGACAGTTGAAAAAATAATAAAAGTAAAGTCAGTGTGACTCAATTTGAGATGTAAAATTAGAACAAGTGGTTCGAGTCCGATATACGCCTTGTCGAGCTCTTGCAAGCTTTTTGCGGAGAGCCGCTTTTTTTGCCCATGTTTGGCCT